GGGGGGGGGGGGGGGGGGGGGGGGGGGGGGGGGGGGGGGGGGGGTACGCGGAACACCACATTGAGAATAACGGCGGGAGGGGGAGTTGGATGGAAGTGTGCGTTGTCTAGAGTTTGCCGCCCGACACTGCTATGAATCCGTGGAGTGCACGTGTCGTCGATGGATGGGTCTCTGAGGGTCGGAAGCTGCTGTGTCGTGAGGCCAACAACAAAGGGCCGCTGCTTGCTGCTTGCTGCTTGCTTGCGTTGGCAAGACCAGGTTTTCGTGTTTTTTCCCCCACAAAGCTGTCACAAGGCCTCTTGGGTACCTTGTCTCACCATGCCATGCCGATAGCGACATCTATCAAACAAAGCCAACGGCAAAAGGGTTGCTACCGAGGCCGGTAATTTTGCACAACAAAAAGAAAAATAACGAAAAAGGCTCGTTCTGCGTACGATTTCAATGCCGGCATGTATACAATATGCGGACCGTGATGATTTGGTCTGCCCCAATTTCGCCGGGAAAACAGGGGCTGCCAACACCGAGTGGAGTATGGGGGGTCCGGCCAGCGTAACCAGCCCTGCGTGGACCGCTGGTGCCGCACCAAGGCTGCCCAGCGAGAGTCGGACAAGTTAGATAAGGCGGCCCGGAGAAAGAGAGCCATGGCGGTTGGTGGCAGTGGGGTGGGCACGAAGCGCCCGCTTGAGTCGAGGTGAGAGCTGCGGTGATGTGTGCATGATGCGGTCGTCGCAAGGTCGAAAAGTCTTGAGGACGGCGCTCTCCGCCCTTTCGTTTCAGATGCATGGCGCCCCGCATAGTGTAAACGGCGGCAGGGGGGGGGTAGCTTTGGTAGCACTCTCCCAGGCGAAGGGTTTTGAAGTACAAACATGAATGTGTGTGCTGAGCAGTGCCAGCGTTTTTCGGGGGTGTCCTGGGTGATACAGGAGATGCTCAGCGTGTTTGGGGCATGTTCTGAGTGTCATGGGAGGTTTGTGACATGTTACTCTGGCGTGCCGCCGGGGACACGGGTAGTTGTTGGTACGCCATCAACGTTCTGGTGCAACACCGTCGTGTGTGTGAAATTTCCCTGATTGCCTCTATCGGGGGAGTTTTCTATAGGAGAAAAGCATGCACGCCACAAGGTGCAACAACAGCAGCCTACCGCCGTATGATGAACTACAGCACCTACAACATCAACGTTGTTTTGTGTGGTACCCCTCCTCTCCGCGCACGGCACTCACATGCAGAGATAGATGGACATGAACTAGATATGCTTACAGCTCACTGCGTGTCGTAGTAGCACCAATTCACGTGTGCTGACTCACTTACATGTCTTCGTGGCTCCATTTCACATGTGCTCGACCTTCGCACGTCTCAGTAGCGCCGGTTCACACGTGTTGGCTCATCACACGTTTTAGTTGCGCCATCTCACACGTGCTAGCTCACTTCGTGTCTGAGCAACACAACTTCACATGTGCTGCTGTACTCCCGCCCTTTGCACCAAACCAGCGGCGAGGACTACGAGGGTGACTATGGCGGGGGCGACGTGTATGCCGACAAACGCTTCCGCCGCCGCACGACCAAGGGCACGGCGGCGGCGGCGGCGGGGCGGACCTCTCCGACCCCGACGGGGCCGGCCGTGTCCGGCGGGGACTACAGCGGGCTTTCCTACGTTTTCGCGGGGGAGGGCGACGGCGACGGGGGCGGGGGTCTGCCGCGGCCGAACCACGAGGCTGCGCACGTGAGTTCCCGCCGGCCGGTTTCCTACCGTGCCACGAGTGTGTTCTCGTATTTTTGTTCCACGACGACCTATTTATATTCATTATTGATGATATTATTGTTACTGTTGTTTCTATACCTACGTTTTTTCTTTCCCCTGAATATCACTTAGATTGCGCGATTTTTTTCGGTGTCTCGCTGCCTTCCCCACGATGCCTTCATGATGACTTCCCGCGCCACACCGGAGAATCTCGGCTAATTTCGCCGCCGAACAACACTACCGAAACCCAAAACGCCACCCAACTCTCCCGTAACTCCCCCCCCGCTTTTTTTTGGTAGGTGTCGGCAGAGTCCGCGGGCATCGTTCTCTCTGCCGTAGGAGGCGGTGTCGGCGGCGCCAGCAGCAGCAGTAGCAGCAGCAGCAGAGCTCGACCTTCCAGCCGATCACGCCGGTCCGGCCTTAAAAACCTCCTCGGCAAGGGTTACCGCTGCCTTGCCTTGCTAGAAGAGCTGGGCGCCCGGCCGCTGCTGAGCGCCGCGGGGGAGGTTTTGCAGGAGGGGCGGGGCGGGGGAGGGGGGTTGGTTTGGTGCAAGGAGAGCGGGAGGCTGGCGCTGAAGAAGGATGTAAGGAAACGGCTAGCGGCAGTGGATCCGTTTCATGAGGTGAGGTTGTTGTTGTTGTCGTTGTTGTTGTCTTGACACCTTTGTTGTTGTTTTTGTCATCGTCGGCGTTGTTGTGCTGGTTTTTCGCCCGTGCGGAAGTTGGGCCCGGCGGGGGCGTGGGGCAGTACACGATTTCCTTCGATGGCGTTTCCTTGGAGCGGCTGTTATCCTTGGCGGAACGGGGTCAGGATGCCGTAGTTTTGGGAGATTTTCAACGTCTGGTCCCTTGCGTGTATGTGTGTTCGTCCCATCTATTCTGGCGCCGGTTTCAAGGCCTTTGGGCGTATTCACCGGACGTATCAGCCGGGGTCACACGAGAGGAAGGAAGGTCACACTGGAGCTCTTTTCATTTTTTCATTTTGGTCGATGAATGCTCTCTCTCATTCTCTTTTGTATGCGATAGATTGCATCCTCACCCACCTTTTGTATGCATCCCCTCTTTCTCTAATCCATCCTCTCGTTTTCCACACACTTGATGACGTCATCGTCATCCATCACAACGATGCCAACACCAAACCCTCCCTCTTCCCTCGTCCCGCTTTACCCCAGGTACCCGAGATCGAGATGACCACCTCCCTGGAGCCGCTGGCGAAGGTCACCCCCCTCGCCGAAATCGACGGAATCTCCGGTGCCCCCCCGAACCCCTTCGCCGCCGCCGCTGCCGCCGCGGCGGCGGGAGGCAAGACTACCCCCCCTCCTACCGCCGCTCCGCCCGTCGTAGCAGACGAGATAACCGCCACCGTGCCTGTCGCCGATGGCGGAGCCGAAGCCGCTGTTGCTGAGGAGGCGGTGGCGGAGAGTGGGGCGGGGGGTGCGTCGTTGGCAGCTGCTGGTACCGCCGCTGCCACTGTGACCGCCGGGGCTGCTGGGGACAAGGGTGGCGCTGGCGGAGGGGAGGCCGCAGAAGGCGGCGGTGGCAAGACGAATCGAGAGACAAGTGTTGGCGCTGCTAGTGCCTCTGGTCCCGGATCCGGTTCCGGTTCTGGGTCCGCTATGTCTGCCTCTGGTTGCGGTGTCGGTGTCGGTGGCAAGAGGAATCGAGAGACAATTATTAGTTCTGCCACTGCCGCTGTTTCTACTTCTGCTTCTGCTAGGTCGCCCAAGGCGGTGGCGGAAGGCAAGAAGGGCAGCGGCGAGATTGACAAGGGCGCAGCCGACGGAAAGGACGGGAACGACGGAAAGGACGGAAAGGACGGAAAGGACGGAAAGGACGGAAAGGACGGAAAGGACGGGAAGGACGCTGGCAAGAGTGGCGGGGGTCCTGCTAGCGCTGCGGCTGCTGCTGTCAGGAGTCCTGACTCGAAGTGAGTGTGGGTTGGTCTCCGAAGGACGTGGTTTGCCTTATCGCAGGATTGGTTTTCCTTTGATACTCTCCGATACCACCTGTCCTGCTTTTGGTGAAGCTCTTCAAGTTGGTGTCTTGTCGAGCCTGACGTTGTTGCCTCTCAGATTCTCAAAGTGGCCTTGTGGAGCTAGCTTCTCAGTAATGGATGTCGGCGATACGTCTTGCGGAAAACCGCGAGTTGTAAATCAAACGGCGGTATGGCCGATAGGCGAGAGCACAACATATTCGCAAGCACTATTTGTGGTACCTGCGTTTCCTTTTCTCGTGACCCCCTCCCCGTCATCACGTCAGGTACCTGGGCGTGCGGAAGCAAGGGTCCCGTTGGGTGGCCTACATCATTCGTCCTTCGGTGGGAGGCGAGACCAACCTAGGGGTATTCGACGAGGAGGTGGACGCCGCTAAGCAGTACGACAAGTACGCCAACGTGAGTACCGCAGTATTGTCGAAAATCGGTTGTGTTGTTGTTGTTGTTGGCTTCTGAATACTACGGTAACCCCTTTGCACTGCTTAGCCGCTGCCCCCCCCCCCCCCCCCCCCCCCCCCCCCCCCCCCCCCCCCCC